TGAGCCAGAAAGTGGTACCGAGTGGCTACGGCAGAGCCGTGTGTATCTTCCCACGGACCAGTCCATGATCTCATAAAGGCAGCTCCCAGCAGCACAGTGTGGGAAAACAAAGCTTTAGCCCAATGTAATCACTTCTTTTAAAACAGAGCTGCACAAAATATAAAATATTTTAAAATACAGAACAATAGCTGCTCTGCAGAGTCCCTACGGGTTTTCTGGAAGCTGCCGTGCACACACATCATTTCTGTTCGTCATGGTACCCTCTGCTTGGGAAGACAGGCTTCCCTGGGACCCAAACAGGTTGGCTGACTTGATCCAGGTCCCTGAGGCTGTAAGTGTAAGCGAAGGAAGGGCTTGACTTTTGTGGGGAACCTGCTCTGTGTTGCACACTTCACATACACATCAGCATCACAGCCACCCTTGGTGTCAGGTTGTGTGCCTCACCTCAACAGTCAGGATGTAAATACTTGGCAGTTTTAACAACAAATTACCCATGTTATGTCTCAGGGAGAAGCGCCTACTATGTGCCTGGCCTGAGGCCTTTTACAAACACCTTTTGTATTTAATCCTCATCAGCGCGGGAGGTACATGCAATCTTGACTTTTTACAGGGGAGGATGCTGAGCCGCAGAAAGAAATGTGCTCAAGGTCACAAAGGGCAGGTCAGGACCTGAGACAAGGTCCATCTGAATCCAAACCCTGGCTTTTCATTACATGACATTGAGCTCAGTGGTCCCCGCTGTGTGTCGGCTCTGCATTAGAGCAGCCCCGCTGTGAGCTGGGAGGTGTCCCTGCAGGTGCGAAAAGGCTCAGGGGGGAGAAGGGCAGCCTGAGGTCACCCGGCTACTCAGCACCCAAACTAGGATTTGAATCCAGGCCCTCTGACCCCAGAACTCCCCCTGCGAGGGGCCTCTCAGTGCGCCTCAGTGATTCTCTGCTGGAGGAGGTGAGGCTCAGCGCACATCGGGTCTGGAGGGCTTCTTTCAATAACAAGTCCCCCTGGGGACTCTGAAACACCCACCTGGGGGCGGTCCCCCTCCCCACACTCCCTACCTGCTCTTCCAGTGACCCCGTCCCGGCCAGGGTCTGCAGACAGAGCCAAGCTAGGGAACCACTGTCCAAACGGGGAGCTGAGTGATGAATCCTACGTTTCCCACAGTCAACACGAAACAGTCGCTGATAACTGCGTTCCCCTTGCTAGAGTTCACAATAATTCTCAGAGTGATTCGGAAGCATCAGGAGACTTTCTGCAGCGGTGGAATGCTCTGTATCTGAGAGTTCGATACAATAGCCTGTGGCTGTGGAGCGCTCAAAGTGTGAATGAAGGTGACTAGGAAACTAAAGTTTCTGTTTGACTGAAGTTCGTTCCTTTAAGTTGAAAGAGCCCCGTGCGGCTCGTGGGCTACCGTCTTGGACAGCTCAGCTCTAAGGAGCAGCTGACAGAGACACCGTGGCAGGAGGGCTGGACCTGGTGCGGGCAGAACGGAGAGTGCAGGTTTCATACATCAGCCCCGGGAAGGGGCGTGTGGATGTGGAGCCAGCGAGGAAGCCTGGCCAGGGCCTGGCTTGTTCCACCCCCTACTCAGCCCCACACCCAGACCACAGGACATGCCGGGGGCCCGGACAGCTGTCTGCATACGAGTGGCCCTGGGAGAAGGCGGGCACAGAGCTGCCACCTGCTCACAAGGGCTCTGGGACAGTCCCTGGGCCGGCACCTTCTTCTACTGTCTAACTTAATCACAGGAGACTGGGTAAGAGAACAGGCTCAGAAAGATAAAGCAAAAGGCCCTGGTTCACAGAGCCGGCAGCTCCGTCTGCAAAGCCCTGGGCGCTGGAACTTCTTTCTCTCACTGCAAAGAAGGAGAGATTTACAAAGAGGGACTCGCCAAGGGAAAGCCAGCGTTCGTGCCTTTGCAGACACTGGGCCAGCAGCAGGCGGGGGCCAGAAGGTTCTCGCGGGCAGTGCGCAGTGTGACCAGAGCAGGATCGACAGCTGGTTGCGCATCGGCTACGTTCACAATTAACGAAAGCTGCCATGGCGGCAGTGTTTAGGCGAAAGAGCCCTGGGGCCCTGTCAGTCAAGGCACACGTTGATATGGGACCTTATTCTCCAAGACTGCCCTGGACAAACAGGTCCTCACACTCTGTGCATCTGGGAGGGCGACGTGGAAACGTGAGCCTGTTACCAAACGCGAGTGCCCAAGGCACAGTGAGGCCAAACAAGAGGAAATGTCAGAGTTTGGAGCAGGAACAGGTTTATTGCAGGATCAAGCAACAAGAATGAGGGGCTCATGACCCCCCCCCAAAAAAAGCGCCAAACTCCCTAAAGGGTTTCAGCTGAGCCTTTTTAAAGGTGAGCCGAGGGCGGGGAGTCCCGGGTTATGTGATCAGCTGTGCACGATTCTGACTGGTTGATGGCGATGAATCCTCAGGTGCCAGAAGGCCTGGGGCCACATGCTCATGATCATCAAGGAGTACATTTCTTCCATTTAGTTGTGGTTTTTAGTATCTGAAAAGCTCAGGAGTTCTTTTTTAAGTGGAGGCACTGCAGATTGAACCCAGGACCTCAAGCATGCCAAGCACGTGCTCTGCCACTGAGCTATATC